CCGAGATTCGTCAGCCTGTTCCATGTTTCTATGTCACTGAATCTATTTTGTTCATCAGTTTATTATGTTCTTTAGATTCCGCATATAAGTGAGATCATGTGATGATTGTCTTTCTCTCCCTGGCTTATTTCACTTAGCGTAATACTCTCCAGGTCCTTCCATACTGTCCCAAAGGGTACAAGATTCTTCTTCTTTACAGCTGCGTAGTATTCCAAGATGTAAATGTCCCACAGCTTTTTTATCCACTCATCTACTGAGGGGCACTTGGGCTGTTTCCAGATCTTAGCTATTGTAAATTGCACTGCTGTGAACATAGGGGTGCATGTATTCTTTCTGATTAGTGTTTCAAGATTCTTAGGATATATTCCTGGAAGTGGGATCAATGGGTCAAAAGGCAGTTGCATTTTTAATTTCTTGAGAAAACTCCATACTGTTTTCCACAGTGGCTGCACCAGTCTGCATTTCCACCAGCAGTGTACCAGGGTTTCCAGAAGCATTAGTTTATAAAGAAGCATAAATAAATACTTTCCTTTGGGCTAATAGTTAAAAGGATTTTTACCATGATATCAATCTAGAAACATCATCTATCTCACTTCATATTTTTGCATTAAATAATTGCCATTCAGGAAAACAAGGGAGGGAATGATGCTTGATAATGAGAAGACACTTAAACTTAAAATGTTCTTTGGAATGAGGAGAGGTTTCATGGTGCATTTTTAAAAATATATCTTTATTGATTTCAGAGAGAGGAAAGGAGAGAGAGAGATAAAAACATCAATGATGAGAGAGTCATCATTGGTTGGCTGCCTCCCACACGCCCCCTACTGGGGATCAAGCCTGCAACCCGGGCATGTGCCCTGACCGGGAATCGAACCACGATCTCCTGGATCCTAGGTCGATGCTCAACCGCTGAGCAGGTACGTTATTTTTCTTCCTTCACAGAATAAATTTATTTATACTTTATTAATGAAATAAATGAAACTTAGCCAGTCATTTCCCTTTTTTATAATAGCTAAAATAAATATGTAACTTCATTATTTCCCCAGGAAAGATTTAACGGCAGGACTTATCTTTCCTCCCATCTTCTTTTCCATCTAGAAAACTAAGAATGAGAAGGATTGCCTTCAGTGGTGTTTTTGTCTTATTCTGCCTCTTAGGTGGTAAGTCATTAAGGAAGCATAAATCAAAGCAAGGGAAAATTATCTAAGAAATTGCAGAATTACAATATAAGTGGTGTGTGTCTTAACCAAGGTAACTAAGGTGCTTCCAACAAGGCCCGAGTAAGCACTTATATAATATAATATGAGCTAACAAGTAAAATTATAAAATAGAATAGCATACTTCAGAATTAATCATGTAAAGAAATTATTTATTTTACATATAAATCTAAAGCATTAAATTTAATTGTTAACTCAAAATATATCGTGTGCTAAAAACCAATAATACATTTTAAGACAAAAAGAGACTAACAGGAAGTGAATGGGATTTGAGAACATAGGTATCAATATTCAGGCAATGAAAAAATTACAATCAGCACAAAGGCCTGCAAGTTAAGGCATCTTCTTGGGTCAAAGTAAAGAATGTGAGAGGCGAGGTTTGAAGGAGAAGGTTGTGGATATCGGGTGTGGAATCAGAGAAAGGAGGGGCCACCTGAGAGGGAGAGAAAGCAGACAGGGACATCAGAAGGCGCCCGTAGCTCCTGTGACCTGGTGTGGTTACTAAGAACAAGGGTTTGGGATTCCAACTGACCTTTTTAAACTGTCTCTGCCACTCGGGCAAACTGCTTAAAATCTTGAGGCATCCGTTTTCTTTTATGTGAAATGTGGCAACTACAACACCTGCTAGAAAGGTTTATTATGGGAAATAATTAGACTAATGCATGTAAATGGCTTATCAATCGGCATAAGTTTAGTTCCTAAAAGGTATTTGTTGATTGATGCTTGATTATGGATTGTAAGTTTGTCTGTCATGCTTAGTGAGAAAACCAATGTGAAGTTTCAAAAATGTCTTTAGTTGAGGTTGACACTGGGGAGAAGAGTCCAGAGGTTAATTAGCCTCATCAGCCAGACTCTTCTATTAAAAGCAATCTCTTCTAACCCCAACATGACATATAAATGGCATTGCACAAAATGTCTAGTACACTCTTCTTTGAAGTTATCAAGGGATAGGCGTGACATGGCAATGGTCTTCATATATTAAGAAATGGGAACTACAAACACTAAGACAAATTTCCGCTGAATTTCAGAAGAATCTTTTAATAATCTGAACTGGTTTTAGTCGTGATGAGCTCTCCATCACTTGCCAAGACTGCCTGCAGGAGTTGTCATAACAGAGATTCCTGAATTCAGTAGAACCAGTGGTTCTCAAAGCCTGGTCCTGATATCTATATCTAAATCACATGACTTCTGCTGTTCCTGCAAGTCTAAAATACAGATTCCCAGGCCCCACCTCCTCTGGGGCCAAGGGCTTTCCTCTGGGAATCTGTGCTTATTTTAACTGCTTAAGTAAATCTAATTCAAAGTCAAATTTGGAAACAGATCTTCTAGATGATATTTTCCATCCTTTTGGAAATGAACATGTTGACCACGCTTAAGAATTTCAGGGCTATTTCTACATAACCAAAATGAATAACATTTTTTAACCACTGCATTTGAGAATGGAAGATAATCGATATATAAACATGAATCAAGCAATAAATATTCACAGAGAACTTACCATGTATAATGTGCTGCTTTAGACATTGGAAGGAAGGTCTCATAGTGGCTATATGGCTGAAATTAATTTTCCTGGCTAAATAACTTTGAATGAACTTAATTAGGCACTGAGGAATTGAATAGATTTTAACCAACTAAGTTATTTAGACCACCTGGCCTCATTTTTAATTAGTATCAGCTCAGAGTACTTCCAATTCATGGGTGTAGCATATGTAAAATCAAAATTTTAAAATATTGCTTACTTTTTAAAGTTGAAAATCACTGCTTTATTTTTGGATCTCTCTTTCTCCCCCCACCCCCTTTTCCCCCCTCTCTCTGGTCTTCGTCTCTATTTTCCCCGTGTATTTTCTTTCCTGTGTTTGGAGATGTTGGAGGTCTGGTTTGCAGGTCATGCAACCTTTCAATCCCCTTCCATGGATGTCTTTTAGACTTTGGAACCTGCACAGCAAAACCTGATCAGTACTGTTTTAAAGAGGTCCACAGTAAACGTAAGTCTTGACACCTAAAAAAACCCCACTTATTTAAAATGAGCACATTCGCTGAGCATTTACCTGAATTATATTACACCAAGGAAACAATACAATGATATAAGCTGGATCTTGTCACTATCCCCATTTTTTAAACATGAGAAATCTGAGAAATAGATTTAAAAATTTGCACAATGTTACACAGCTAATGAATGTTGGAGCCACGATTCAAATGCAAGTACTTTGACTTCTGAGTGCACATCCTCAGTGAATCTATACACTGCTCGCTCACATCACCCCCATCCTCACAAATAATTAACCCGTAATTTGCTGGCCCTTCTAAGCACAGCGCTATGCAACTGCGCAGGCTGCAGGCCCAGGAAGCCAGCCTCGTCTGCGTACAGTACAGAGCTATAGGTAAAAACCCAAATGGAGAAAACGTTAGAAGAAACTACTGGAGAACATATTTTAAGCTTGAAAGAGAGGAGGCTTCCTTAACATCCAAAAGACAAAAGTACACAAAATGGTAGATAAATTTGAATATATCAATATTTAAAATTGAAAAGGTAAGGAATAAACTGGATGAAAATATTTGAGATATAAGTAACAGAAAATAATATTACTATCTAACCAGAATAAAGAAGTTCAAAAAAAAATTTTTTTTTAAATACCAACAATCAAGGAAAAAAAAAAATTATTTAACTTGTTAAGGGAAATTTAAAGGCAATTTTCAAAGGGGGGAATATAAGCGACCTGACCTGAAACCATAAAAATCTGCACAACTCATCAGTAAATAGCAAAGAAATGCAAGTTATAGAAATAATATCTTTTAACCCATGAGATTGGTAAAAATTATAAAAGTTTTATAATATCAAGTTGTAGTGACAGTATGGGGAAATAGGAACTCATACATTTCCAATGACAGTTTAGATTGGTTTAACATTTCAGGTAACCTCCTTAAAATTTTAAATGAGCACAAACTTGTTTCTATTTCTTGTTATCTACTTCAGAGAAATAGTTACACGTAACACCAAAAGGCATGTATTAAGGTTATCACTGCAAATTTATATTTAATAGTAAAATAATGGGAATAACCTACATGTCTGCCTATAGGTGTTATTAAAACTATGACACATCCACACCATGAAATACTAGGCAACACTTAGATTGAACTAGATCCCTTTGTTAACACAGGAAAATCTCTAAAACATTGTTGAGTAGGATAAAAGTCGCAAAACAGTATGTATAGTAGGCCACTTATGAATAGACATCTCCACAAAGCAAAACTAAATCTCTCCATGGAATTGGGGAAAAAGAATAAAAATTAGAAGAGATCAAAGTTGGGAGAAAGGAATAGGGTTTGGGGGTCATATCTGCTGGAGTTTGGGGATTAAGAAGATTTCTTGAGGACTTCTCAACCTGTCCAGCCGAGGTCCCTTCTCTGCACTCCGAGTTCCCTGTGACTGGCACCTTTGCCAGTCAGGGCCCCTTCCTCTTGAGGGAGAAAGGTGCCCAGGCTCCCTGGAGCCCCCTCCCTTCCTGAGTGTGGACAAACAGTCATCTCGTAAGCTTGACCTCAAAACAAGTCTTAAAGGACCCTGTACGTAAGAACCTGGAGGCTTTCATAACACAATATTGATGACAGTTCTGAGTGGGTCAAGGACCTAATGATTACAACGTTGTGAGGTTTCCTAACTTGGAAATGTTGCCATGTCACAACGATGTGAAACAAATAGAGCTGGCATTCACCCTTTGGACGGTTTTACCAACAGGGTTTCTCATCTTTGATACTGTTGACACTGGCAGGATAATTCTTTGATATGCAGGGCTCTCTTGTGTATTGTAGGGAGCGTATTTAGCACACCCTGGCCTCTGCCCACTACATGCCAGTAACATCTTCAAGCTGAAACAACAAAACTACCTCTGTCCTGTGGGTGGGGGAGCAAAACCACCCCTAGTTGAGAGGCTACTGTTTGCTCAAGTTTCCAACCATCGCACCTTCTGCCGTCTTTGGTGGAATTGCCCTTCTGCGTTCTCTCATCTGAAACGGGGTGCTAAGGTACAGGATACTACTGACACTTACTTGGCACTTTTGTGTATTTTTCACATTTTTTTGCAGTGAGCATGCATTACTTCTATAATAAGGGGGAAATTAAGTGAGGTCAAGGACACACCTCATTTTTGGGAAACATATATCGAAATGATCCTTCTGAAGATTCAGGCCTTTGAGTAATTCATGACCTGGGTTAAACTGGGGGATGACATGAGGAAGCTTCCAAACGGCTAACAATTCAACAATTTTACACAGTCGATGGCAATTGCATGGCTTTTATCTTCTAAGTTTGAAAGCTATTCTGTTTTACAATTTCAATGCTTTCGAATTGCAATGTACCCAACTAGAATGCTTTTAGGTGGGAGTTCTTAAAGGCAAGATGACTGTATTGTGATAAACCTAGGCTTTCGCTTTGTGTTTGTTATTGTTGTGTGTGTGTTCTTCATCTGTTTTCTGAGGTCAGGTGGGTTGTACCTCGTAAGAAATTCTCTGCCTCTGCCTCTTTGTTTCCCTCAGGTGGAATTCGCTGGTTTTCAATTAAAAGCTGCTCAGAATCCAAATTGGATTGCTTCAAGAGAATTGTGAAAAATTATGAAGTTATTTCTACTCACTGCTGCCGTCGTCCATTGTGCAATTTCTGAGCCAGCGGCCCTTCTCCACTGGCTGATGGGTCAATCTCAGAGTCTGACCTGGTCATCACAAGACGACAGCTACCATCCATCAGCCCTCTGCGAAGAACCTCAGACCTTTGCAGGTTGTAGGGAGTTATGGTCTGAAACCAATTTTGTCTTTCGAGGTGCCCGGCTTCTTCCCCCACCAACTCCAACTAGTCTCAGAAACATCCTTTCCAACACCATCTCTCTCCTCCCCTCTTTTTGCTTAATTCTCTTTCCGAAGAATTTAGGACTACAAAGAATTAAAAACGTGAGTGATTCCCTGAGTCAAATTATGTACATCTTCTCTAGTTTACTAATTCTCCTAATTATTTCCATAGTCCGTAATATAGTTACAAGTGAACTGCGTAGCAAGATACCAAATGACCTGGGAATGTTCATTTGGTTTCCAAAGGAAATTGCCTTGCTCTTTGGGGGAATTTATGGTATGGAAGGAACTGATTTAACAAATACCGTAGGAAAAATAAGTCATAAATCAGCAAACTAGGCCTGAGAGAACTATGACCCCAAATGGCAGGGGGCTCAAGCAGGTGCAAAATCTGATACTTATTTCTCCCATTTGCATCAGGATTTGTCCAAATTCTGGATTTCCATACCTTAACCACGCCTAAATTCGCTGGCTTGTCTAATTTCTGCAGATTAAGCAATTCCTCTTGAGCAGGAGGATAGGTTCCCATCCACAAGGAATTAAAAAAAATTTTAACCGCACTTCACATTTTTAACATATTCAGTTATTCCTATTCAATACCCTACTTATGTAACTTCGAAATTGTTGTCTTTTAAATTTTAAAGTTGTTTTTTTCTGTATTTTTAGAAGCTTGAGAAATTCACATGGTAAATAATCAATCTCAATAAAACCTTCTGCTGGCCTTTGCTCAGAACCTCAGATTCTCACACACGGAGGGCCCCCAAGGAAACGAGACATTTTCCCCCACACTCATTTCAACTATATTTCTTAGACCATTTTTCTGAACTCACTTAAAAAAAAAAAAAAGCCTCTTCATCTTGAGATGTAAATGCATTTACCATTATTTTGTCACTTTCTGCATCAGCCACATTGGTAAACTGTGGTTATCCCAAATCTGGGAACTTCATGGGGAGTTTACTTTTATTTTTATTGTTTTTTAAATGTACCCTTATTTACCAATATAGTGGGGATCAGATGATGAGTCACTGACTCCATGAGCTTCCCAAACTTAATTTGCAATCCCAGGGACATAAGGAGAGATTTAGGAAGCGGGTGCTCGTTTTTTCCCTTCACCTGCTTCCCCTCACAGAGGAGATGGAAAGGACTGGATCACAAGGTCTCAGGGCTCCCTTCAGATCCTGACGTTTTATGACTCCGCGTTGACTAACACCTCTTTGCGGTTGTTTCCTTACATTTAAGAATAAGACTTGGTGCTGCCTACAGCCCATTACATAGGCCCTGGCTGTTGTGATTAATGCCCCACCCGGCTCTGTGCGATGCCAGCGGGTGCAGGAGAAGAGCCAGCCCCAGTGGGCCCGCCCGGAGCAGGTGTGTGCAGCCAGTGTCACACAGAAGTCGCCATGGGAACAAGAGGCGACGTTTGCATCCTTGCTGTAGTAGGCTGGCTGATGCCCTCCCCCTCCAAAGATGTTCGTGTTCTAATTCCTGGAAACTGCAGACACGTTGCTTTACGAGGGATTTTGCAGATGTGTTTAAGTTCAGGATTTTGAGATGAGATTTTCCTGAATTACCCCAGTGGGCCCAATGTGACCATAAGAGTCTTTATAAGAGGGAAGCAGGAGGGTCAACGGGAAGATGCTAAGCGATCGGTTTTGTAGGTGGGGGGAAAGGCTTCACAAGCCAAGGAATCTGGAAAACCCCCAGAAGCTGGAAGAGTCAAGGAAATGGGGTCTCCCCTGGAGCCTCTAGGAAAAACACAGCCCTGCAGGCACATTTTAGACTTGTGGCATCCAGCATGTGACATAATAGATCTGTGGGTTTTTAATTTAGGTATAATTGACATGTAGCATTATATGAGTTTCACATGTCTGACATGACTATTTGGTATTTGTATATATTATGAAATGATTACCACAGCAAGTCTAGGTAACATCCATCGCTATATATAGTTACAACAAAAATTTGCTTTCTTAGGCAGAGGGGGGTGAAGAGGGGGAATGGGGGACATCTGTAATACTGTCAAAGATAAAAATGTATATATTTTTAAAATTGCTTTCTTTTAACATGGCGATTTGCTCTTGTAGGCATGGGAAACAAATACACTTGATCATTCCGGGGAGGGGACAGTGAGGCATTTCCTCTGTCTCCAAGGTGGACACACCCAGCACTTGGTTTACATGGGATCTGATTTCAAGAGAGGCACCTCAGTGCCTCATATTGTCTTCTTTTCCTTGTAACAATTTCTCAGTCATAATTTCCCTAGAAATACACAAATGGTCTACAGACGTGCGATCACATCTTATTAGTTTACACCTCCCACGCAAGCCCCTATCCATTCAAAATGTCTCTGGCTAACAAGTTTATTCTTTCCCTGTCCCTCACGCCCAAAGACAAAGTGATACCTGACATATCTAAAAGGCATCAGACTGAAGGGCTCATGGATCTGGGGACCTGCCTTGATCCTCTGAATACCAGGTTGGCTTCCTTGTTGATTAATTTTTTTCTTTTCTGCAACTGAAATAGAATCCTCAGTGGTTCATGCCCCTTAATTCATTTAAAAGACAAGTCTTTGCAATCAATAAGTGGGGGCATCTGGAGGATGTGGCAGGGAAAAGACTGAAATGATTCTATTAGCAAAGGAGGGTTGGAACATTTTGCCTGCTAGCACTCAGTGATGAGGTTTCCTGAAGTCGCAGAGAGCACACATTTTATAATTGCTGCGGCCCTTGCTGCTTTCCCCACTCTACGGACGGACCAGGAGGCTAAGCCCCGCAGCTGATAGATGGTGGACTGGGAACTGCTGGTGACATACCACGTGATCTCTACTCCACCACAAATGCCAGCCCTTTGGAGAACCACGTGGGTGGGCAAGGAGCTGCGGGTGGTGCCACCCTGACTCTTGTGAGCCTGGCAAGGACTTTGGGAAGAAAGAAATATTCAGTTAGATAATGATGGAGAAAAGTCTGGAGCCCTGAATGCTACAGATCACATTGACAGGAAACCATCTTTAATTTTATTTTCTGCACTGAAGAATTTCATGTGCTAATAACTTTATGGCTAAAACTGCAGGCCAACGTACTATGTTGGAGACATGGTAAAATACCCGCCTCTTTGCGGGGATCTGAGGCCATCTCAGTACTGTCTGTCCAGGGTAGTTCACATTTTCTCTCCCTGTAGCTGACCCATATGGCTGCAAATCCTGCAAGTGAAAGCATTAGAGGTGGCTGTACCTGCTGGTGGATACATTTCCCTTGTCTTGCATATTTCCTTGATCTCTGTAGATCACTGCTGGTGAGTAATCCCTCTTTAGGCTAAACCTCAAATCTTGATGGCTGCAATCTATCCTTCCCATAACTTACTAGTGTGAGTATATTTTCTACTCTCTCATCCGCACACATACTGAATAAAGTTAATAGATCTGCCATCAGAAATTATTGTGTAGAATGGAACTTCCAGGCAGAGCTGTAACTAGCAATTTTGGTGCCAGGGCAAGCATGAAACATGCCCTCAAATTAACTTTGTAATTCATGTCTTGGCTCACGTATGGCTGTTATTGATGATACTTACCATCTGGTAGCTTCCTATTTTAACTATTCTTGCTAACTAAGCGTTAAGCTTAGTGATACTATGCACATGTGCTGTTGAATTAATTGCACAATTATTTAAAAAGCTGGCACACTGTGAATTTCAGAGACCTGGGGCAAAAGCGTAATGGCCAGGCCCAGACACGGCTCTGATTATGGAGAGGAAAGAGAGAAAGGAGTCGTCGATGACAGTAGACATTTGAAGCACATTGAACCCATTAATTCAAATCTTTATTGAGCAATTCTCACATGTCAGGGATAGAGGAGGTGATGTGGGTACAATAGTGAATAATTTATGGTGCAAGGGAAGCCTAAACAATCATTTTATATTCTCTCTCTTGGTTCTGGGGCTGACCAGGCTCCACTAGGTAGTTCTCGCTTGAGGTTTCTCATGGAATTAGAGTCAGAGGCTAGCTGGGGCTGAAGTCACCCATTAACAGGGCTAGCTGGGGGCTGGAACAGGGCGGGCGAGGGGGCTCGTCCAGCATCTCTGTGTCTGCGTGATCATCCCACGTGGTGTCTCTAACTTGGCAGCTTCACGGTAGCCTGACTTCTTATATGGCAGCTCCGGGTCCAGGGAGAGAAGACAGAGACGAGGCCAGACAGGAACTATCCTGACTTTTATTACTTATCTTCAAAAGTCACACATGTCACTCCCACTGGACTATGAGTTGAGGCGGTCACAGAGGCCCACACAGGTTCATGGGGAGAGCGTAGAGACGCCACCTCTTTTTTAAAATTTGATTTTAGAGAGAAAGGAAGGGGAGAGGGAAAGAGAGACACATCGATGTGAGAGAAAAACATCAGCTGGTTGCCTCCAGTCGGGGATCCAACCCAAAACCTGGGCGTGTGCCCTGGCCGGGAGTCAGATTCGGTGTGCAGGGCCGCACTCCAGCCGACCGAGCCACACTGGCAACGCCACCTCTTGACGGGGAAGTACTAAGTTCCTGGAAAAAGATGAGACCCAAAATGGAGTTGAGGACATTTTTATAAAATACAATCTACCACAGGGTCCATGAATTTCACCAGCCTGTCAAGTGGGTCCATCGTGTAAAAAATAAAAATAAAGAAGCCCCTTCCAGAACCTTTCATAACTGAAGTTCACTCACATTACGTGCCTCACCCTGACATGCTAACCCCCGCTTCTGCATCCTGCCTTGCGGTCGCATCCAGCCTGGTCCCTAGTTTCTCTGTTCATGTTCTAGTTTGACTTCGTTGCTCTGAAAGGACCCTTT